AATCTCAAATTGATAAACAATCACTCAAAATATCCCCATTCACTAAACACAAAGAAAGCAAAGCAATAATACTTACACCAGCACACACTCCTTTGTTCTTATTGATCCTACGACGGTTGAGCTGCAAATGCGGTCGTGCACAAGCTTTGATCCAAGCTAGGCATTCCGTACCAGATTTGGGAATTCTGTGAATTTTAGTTCCACAAATACGATCAGGATACCTGACATCGCCTGAACAGATACCCCACTGACAGTGGAGAACCATTCTTTTTCGAGTCCTGACGCAAAAACTTTCTGCTGGTCTGCTAGTCCACAATGTACATTAGCATGTGTTAGCATGTGTCTACTACTGTAGCTTGTGTTTGTGAGACGGTCACGCACGTGGTAGCTGCGCTGGGACGTGAAATGGGCATTAGCCAATGAAACACGGCCCCTGTGGTAAGGTCCATGGATGGATAGATGGATATCTTTGGTAGCTACTTAAAGGGCAGGACACCAAAAACTCAAAAAGCTAAAATGTATTCAATTAATCATCAAAATAGTTTTGACTAAGTTGAGAATGAAAGTGAAAATTATTCACATCAGAAATAATTCAAGCTAAGGTACGCCACCTTCGCATCAGGGTAGAGTAAAAGAAGGACACTTATGTCATGATTGTGTTGACCTTTTACCTTTGAGAGGACTTCGTCGTGAACAACCGTGTTGGTGGTCAGCAGGACCAGCACCGTCTGCAAGAGCTTCAGCTCCTCCAAACCGTTCTCCATCAGCTGCCACAACATGTTGATGATGTTCCCTGCAGCCGCCTGGCACACGCACAAAAAGAACCAGAGCAAACGTCAAACGTTGGCGCAGACATGTCTGCTCATCGGCGCGCATGAACCGCTCGCTTTATGCAGAACCCGCCACGTTCAGCAGACACACAATAGTGAGAGCAGCAGCTTCCTGACGCCAGCAACCAAACATCAGACACCAGATTTAGCCGTGTGTTACGGCTGATGCTGACACCAAGTGACACTGCATGTCCTTTTATTTGACACGCAGTTTTTTTAAAAGTCTACATAAAATATTGTGAGATCCAATTAAACGATCGACCTCAAAACCCAAATGGGAAACAAAGAAAAATCAGGGTTTTTTTTTCCTTTTGAATGATTCTCTGTTTGTCCTGCGAGGAATGAAAACTTATATTTCTAACAAAGAACCTGAAGCATCTCTACTATGAAAACATCAGCTTCCAGATAATTTGGCAGATTTTTAATCAGATATTGAAAACGATTCTAGTTCAGGAGTCGTTGCAATGTGCCCAATCTATTAGGGTAGATCTATTCTGTCTAATTCTCTGATGTCATGCTTAATTATCTATTTTACTGTATATTTAGCATTCCTAAATGCACTTTATGCACCATTTGAAAGGTTTGATGTTCATTTTAAATGTTTGATCAAGGTAGTCAACCTTTTGTTTTTGTCCATTTCTGTTTCCTTAATATTTATTTCACATTAGTTGTGGCACTGACTGAACAAATTAAAAGTTGTGTTGTTTTTACATGTTTGACCAGGCCTGTGATGCAGAATTATGTCTATATATAAAAGATTTAAATCAATTCAGCTCTGTTTCTGTCGGATCGGTATCGGCCGATACTAAAATTCAGATATCGGTATCGGAAGTGAGACAGGTGGATCGGTGCATCCCTACTTACAATGGCTGTGTGTTTATTTTCAGTGGAAAACTTCCCGCTTTTACATTTTGCAGCTCGCCTGACCTTTCGTTCCCCCCTCATTCTCCTCAGGGGTTTGTCATTCAAACTGTGACAGCCTGCTTTTCTGATACTCATTTCTCTCCGGATGAGACATGTTTGCTGTCTGGAGGCGGATGTCTCAATTTGACGACGATGGCAGTGCTGCTTCAGTCTTGTACCAACCAGATGCCTTATTAGGTGTTGCCATTAAGAGCTCATTCAGAGCATCTGCTGCCCAATTACAGCATTTTTTTTGTTAAGAAATTTCACCTGACTCCAGTTCTTCCCTTAAGACTGCCGCCACATTGTCTCTAAATGTCAAAAGTAAGATTAAAACCTCTTGAGTGACACCTTGAGATGTAGCTTGGCTTTGTCCCATGAGGCCCTGAACGCTGAAACGTAGAAAGTGAAGAAACAGAACAAAATGTCTGTTTGGTATAAGGAGGTTTTATTTGCTCACTGTTATTTTTCCTAAAAACACAGAATCTTCTAAATAAGTCTAGTATTTGAAAAGTAGGCAAAACATTTATAAGAAAAATGTGAAGAAAAAAACTGCAATTTCACAAGGGACTTTGGTAGATGTTTTGGTATGAGATGAACAGATTAACTAATTTTAAATTAAAAAATTGTTTAAATTACAATTAACACGTCAATTTACGGAATAAGAATTAATACAGCAGGTTCATCAATGCTTTGTTTTTTACTATTTTGTATTACTCTAAAGTCTGAACTTTAAGAAATTATATTGTGTGCATATATATTATAGTGTGTAAAAAGACAAAACTAAAGAAATACTTTTCGAAGGCCCTGCATATCATAAATAAATAAATGATGAAACTACTGTCTGCATTTTTTTTTGTTAAACAACTGTCAAAAAGCTTCAGGAACTGTTTCAGACTAATGAAATCACAGCCTCACATCAGAACGTAGACCTCAGGAAGCTTTTAATAGCAGCTTTTTATGGTGAATTAACAAGCCAGATGTGAAGCTTCGGGGCACCAGCACACCGGCAGCTCAGCTATTTAAAGATTCAGACCATTTTCACCCATCTGATAAGCCTATGCTGAACTTCAAATTAATTTAAAAACTTATTAAAGTCATCCCCCTTCCCCCTCCCATCTTACTCCACATGACTTCCTCTGGTTTTTGTAACTGTGCCCGCACTCCCACACCATGTAACGAGGCTCATGCATTTTCTCAGCCAGTGGTTTCCTTGGCTACGGGGGGGGGGAAGAAAATCACTGGAAAATTAGGAAATAGCGAGCTGCTTCGTGATATGAAACATGTCGCTATTGAGAAGCTGCATCAATTTTAGAAGTTATTAATAATTAAGCTATATTCAAGTGTTGCAGGTGTTGTCTCTAACTCAAGCCTCAAAATAAAATATCCTTAACGTATTTATTGTCAAAGATAAATTAAGTTCCTAGCCTTAAAACCATAAAAAAACCACAAAGTCCTCCATTCCTGTTCTAACTGCAGCTGTGCTGAAACGTTGCTTCTTAGGGAATTCGTTTAAAGACAATTGAAAAGTCAAAACATACATTATCAGGGTTTCTGCAGGTTTCACCAACTCATATTTAAGACTTTTTAAAACCATTATGAATGGAATTTAAGACCTTTATCTCCACAACTTCATCAATAAATTTGCACTTATCAATGATGGACACAAAAAAGCTAGCTGGTTAGCTAGCAAGGGCATATTAGCAGCTAGTTAACGGTAGCCTCAACTGTCTCGAGTCCCATAATGTAATGGAGACATCCGAGTGCAACTCAAAATATTGCCTGACAGAATAGTCCAGTGAGAAAAAAATAAAACATAGAATATACAAGGTTAAATAGTTCTGTCAAGACTAAATTTAAGACCTGTGATATTAAATCCCCACTTACGTTTTAAAGGATTTAAGACATTTTAAGGTCTTCATTTTAGATACATGAATTTAAGACTTTTTAAGGATGCGTGGACACCTGGATTAGTCCAGGCGGTTTTGGTCCAGAAGGAACATATCCATCATACATTTACAAAAAAAATGTTTTTTTAAAAATTAACTCATGTACTTATATTTACATGACCAATAAATCAAAGTTAACTGAACTGAAAGGTACAGATAACAGTGTTATACAATAATTAATGTTGATAGAAATATTTTAGATTCATAGGGATCATTTCCAAGCCAACCATCTGTAGGTGAATCCTAAAATCAAACTTTGGTATATTCCTAAAATAGCAACCAAAAGGAAAATCTTGATCGTTTATCTAGTTGGGTTGGTTTACTTAAATACTAGAGGTGTGCC